AGATTTATTTGCTAAATTTAAACACAAAATCTAAACAACTTTAAAACAACTTCTAACTAAGTCCACATAATCTTAACTTCTAACTAATTCAACAGGGTCTCTATCATAGCCTTCTCGTGCTAGCTAGCCTAGTGCATTTATCTTGTGCTGTTTTGTTACTAGTGAATATCTAATAGTGTAAATATCAGTTTCAACCACTATCAATTTGGTATTAGAGAATGTTACAATTAGGAAAGTGAAGAATGACTCAGAAATAGTTTGAAGATTAGATGGAACTGATAAAGGCAATGGGATAGTTGAAGTAGGAACTTCAAACACTACCTAGCTTGGAGTGTGCGATGGAGCAACTTGCACAGAGTGTTGCCAGAATGGTGTCAGTGAAGAAAACGAGTGGGAAATTGAAGGATAGAGGTGTATTAACCAGAAGGGGAACATTTTAGAGTAAGGAGAGGCATCTAGAATATGCAGTGGTGGAATTGGAGGTGAAATTCACAGCAAAAGACCTCAATGATTGGGGCAGATACAAGAAAAAGATCTCTAGATAGTCAACGAAATTATGAGGGTATAATATCGAAACAATGAAATTTTTATTGAGAAAAAAGATCTTTTATCGACAATGTCTGCAATGCTGAAACTCTTTGATGTTTCTCCTAAATTAAAAGTCCCCCTTCTTTACATAATTTGGAAGGGTGACTTCCCAAAGAAAGTGAAGGTCTTTTTATGGTCTCTAGCGTATAGATCTTTGAACAGGTTGCAAAGAAAGCGTCCTAACTGGACTATGTCGCTGTCGGTTTACTTGCTGTGCTTGAGGAAGAAACTCTTAACCATGTTTTCATCCACTGCCCTTTTGGCTACTAAGGGTTGGCATTTCTTGTTTTGTGTTTTTGGCTTGTCTGGTTGTATGCCCTGTTCAATAGAGGTTTGGTTGGCAGAAGCTCCTCAGGGTGGCAGCTTAAAAGGAAAGGGAAGGTCCTTTGGTCTTGTATTGTTAGAGCTCTCCCTTGGAATATTTGGCTCGAAAGAAATCGTAGGATTTTTTAAAACATGTCTTCTTCTTTTGTCCCTTTTTATGATAGTGTACCGCTAATCTCCTCTTGTGGAACGACATAGGCTCTATGATTATTTGTGATTGGAGAGCTTTTTTTTTTAGCTTTGGGAGGGGGTCTCCTCGTCCCCCGCTCTTAGCTGTCTTGCTTCTTTCTTTTCTAATGGAAGGTTTCTTTATAAAAAAAAAAATATATATATATATATATTGAAACAAGGTTGAGGTGCCGATTCTCTTAGGTGAGCACTTAGACCTTGCTTTTTCGAGCTGAGTGCTATTTTGAAATACACAAGTTGAAGGAAGCCTTTTGTGGTGGTTGTGGGCAAGGTATCATTGCGAGAAGACTCACCTACTACTGCGATTTCAACCCTTGCATGAAGAAAGCTTGTGCAAATGCTTTTCGGAAGTTATACAGGACACATCTTTAAGTATTGGTGTTTCTTTGAAATCCTAGCTCCACCACTGCCTCACTTTCAGAAAAGGTGCTGAATAGTGCATTTGTCCATGGTCCTGGTCCAATTATCCAAGTGGAGGTTCATTTCCTAAAAGTAGTGGATTGGATAAAATAATACAAACAGTCAACTTATTGAGGGCAGAAATGGTTATTGGGTTATCCAAGCTGCCAACGAGTCTAACAATAGCCCCTATCGAGAAAACACACCAATTGAATTAAAAGATAGAAGGTAAGGTAAGCCCCAAAAAAATCAACAGACTCAGCACTGTGATCATTTGGAAGTGCGCCTCAGTTTGATGCAAGGAGACCCGCTATAAGCACCAATGAGAAGTGGGATGATGATCTACGTGAAATTTGAGAATTTTCTACGAAAAAACTAGGAAACAGGAAACAAGGCACAAAAAACCCCAGGCCCACCCTGCTTCAGGGAGGATAACACGTCCTCAGATTTTCAAATACTACTTAGGTGAAGGCTACATAAAATTTACAATAGAACACACCTAATTTCATAGATCATAAAAATTGAAGGCTTGAAAAGAGCTCCAAAATGAGAGAAATTTGTACCAAATATTGGAGTAAAATCTGCAGAAAAATTCTAGAAAATTGGTACCATTCATGCTTTAAAAAATTTCAGAAATCAGTATGGTTTATGTTCAAAAAAGTTGAAGCTGATTCTGTACTCTAGCAAGCTGTCTGTTATACGGCAAGGCTTCAAAAGGGGAGGAAAGTGTGGGGGGTGGGGGGAAGAGAAGTGTGAAAGTGTAAAGTCTTCAAAGAATTCTCTGTTAGAGGGATAAGATGTGAGATTAATGTTTGAACATGTTGAGGCCCCCTGATGGAGACTTTACTCAAGGATAGTAAGAATATCTCAATCTATCTTTATTCATTAAGGAGAACCCTATTTATAAAGGGAAAAGAACTTAACAAACTAAGAGGTAACAAGTTACCTTACAGTAAATGAGAAACTTTAAAATAAAACACTTAAATGGCCAGCTTTAACTAAATACTAAAATACAGCTACATCACCCCCAAGCAACAACATCGGTGGTAATGACTCAGAAGTTCTCTGAAGTTGTAAGGTTCGACCTCAAAATGATGAAAAGCTTAATAAGTGAAAACTATAGATATGTCTGGTGGGTGGACCTAAACCACATATATATTATTATTATTATTATTTTCTTTTGATAACTGGAAGTTGGAGCTTTGCTCCCCTATACCTAAAGCTACCTAAAGCTACCTGCACTCGCCCTAGGACCCATACTAGGGAGACATCAAGGGTTTATGGTATTAAGCTCTCTAAGAAGGTTTGAATACCTCTGGACTAGTATGACCAAAGATACTCCAAGTTCTTACCAACTAAGCCCCTTAGGGGCTAACCTAATACCACATATATTAAAAATATATATATAGGAAATTGTTGCATATTTTGTGAGAGTATAATTTAAATTCTATTGAATAATTTAATTCTGGATTTTGAGATTTTCATTACTTGTTTGTATCTTGAATTTGCATACCAGAGGGGATGACCTATCCTGTAAATGCTTTGTAGTTATTTATTTATTTTATAAATACCTTTTCTTACTATAAAAAAATGAAATCAGATTTTTGATTCATCTATGTTGTGGTGGCAGGCTTCAGGAAATGTTACTCTGCACACTGTACAGAAAATTGGACAAACTGGGGTTACTTACATATCCAGGTAATGCACAAACTGTAATGTTAATCAGCAAGATTACAGCGCTTTTGTATGATGAAAGGGAAAAAAATTTTCCTCTCGATCTGATTAGTTCTCTCCAACCTCCCTAGTGTCATTAAGAAAGCTTGAACAGATTTGCTGATACTGACTCAAAATAATCCCGCGAAAGTACCTATGATTGCTAGGAGTTACTAAATAAATAATCCAAGCTACATTTTGTGGCACATTACCAAAAAACTCATATGAGAAAATATTTTACTTGACTGACATTTATCCCATAGATAGATTGAGTTTGTATTTCCTTCACCAATAACTTATTATTAATTTACTCAATAGCATTTACTCTTGGCCTAGAAGTAGAATCCTTGAACCCAGTTCCACCTGTTCCCTTCGAGGTGAAGGAGCCATAATACCCACTTTTTATCGTAGAGGTTCTGAAGTCCATCTCAATAGTGCAAAAACTCTATGCTGCTGCCTTCGGTAAATTTGGTTCCAACCGGCTTGAAACAAAACAGTGTATCATAGATTTGATGGTGAATGTGACATAGGTACTGGTACTGGATGGTTCAAGATCAAATTATAGAGACATCTTTTAGTTAGTTATGTGAGCAGTAGAGTCGAGATGTGGAGGCAAACTATTTGTGTGTGTACTGTGTACCTGCCACAATGCCATCTAAATAAAGAAATTTCTTAGTTAGAATGTACTCTTAAGAAACTTACTAAATAACTTCCATTTTTATTGAAAAAGAATGAAGTAAAAAAGAAGTAAATGAAATTGTTTGAATGGCATTGGCTGAGCTAGCAGTGAAAAACAAGTGTTTCTAATACTGTGGGAATTTGGCTGAGCAGTGAGATGATAGAAACCAATTTTATTTATACCACATATCCAAGCCAAGGGAAAATTCGAGAGATCCCTGCTCTCCTATAACCTCACAGAGTCACAATACTCAAGATGACAAAAAACATGAGCAAATAGAAATGTCCCTCCCTTCCTTTTATCTACTATAACCGACCCCCTAACTAACAATATTCCCTTGGGCCCACAACGTTCCCAAGAGTAGACAGCAAGGCAAACCTCTCCTAATTCGCACGTGCTTCTCCTAATTTCTTCTTCCGAGCATACACCTTGGTGATCGGGGGTCTATCA